AGCAAAATGTTTTCCTAATTTCACTTAAAACTAGACTACAAGTTGAATATCAAAAACAATAGGGGGCTCTTTGCAAATGCGAAACGGTTTCCTGATATGACTTAAAACTAGAATACATGTTGATTACCACAAACATTAGGGGTTTTCTTCAAAACATGCAATGGACATGAAGAAAAAGTCCCCCTTTATTAGTAGGTAATATAGTTAAACAAACTAGCCTTATAGAGGAAACCATTGGGGCTTCTTTCGTTCATAAAATAGGAATATCATAGGAATATGAAAATCATAAGAAGTGAGATGACGTACATCTCAATTATTATGTCTCTAATCATGCAATTAAAATGATGGTAGTACATGGCGATATGCTCGGAATGGCTATGAAAATGCCATGTAGGTAGGTATGCTGGCTGTTTTGTGGAGATGGGGTGTCTTATGTGTAGGAGAACAAGAGAAAGTCCTCCCACATGTTTGGATGTACCTGCAAAGTTTGCTCCGAGTCCCAATGTGAGAGTGGGCAATGCACGGTATCCTAGAGGCTAGCAATAAAAGATGAACGAAAGTGCAAAAGGTTTCAAACTTGCATTAGTCATAAAGAACTCAAACACTACACAAGAGTATCGCGATGTCATGTTGCATAGGACTCAAAAGCTAAGTAGCCTAAGGGGATAGTTTGGCGGAGATAAACCTCGTTTGTCGGTGTCAAAACCGGCAGATCTCGGGTAGGGGGCCCGAGCTGTTAGATCGGATCGATGGGTAACAGGAGAAGAACACACAAGGGATTTACCCAGGTTCGGGCCCTCTCTATGGAGGTAAAACCCTACGTCTTGCTCTTGTTTATATACGAAGGTATCGAAGTACATAGTTGATCTACCTCGAGACCATAAGTTGCGGTCTAAACCCTAGTGGTATGATGAATGGGTGTATGGATGGATCCGCCTCTACAGACTAAACCTCCTGGTTTATATGGGCACCAGGGGGTATCTAAGGTTACACATGGTCGGTTGCCATCTAAGGATTCACATGCCGAATCTAAATATGCTTGAAGTACACGCCAAGTCTTCAGTCGCCACACTTCGAGGGCCTCCGGATTCTTGCTTCTCAATGGGCTGGTAGTCTGGCCCATACTTTAGCCCGACTGGGCTAGGACCCCCTAGCCTAGGACACCGTCAGTAGCCCCTGAACTTGTCTTCGAAGCTGCAGTTGACAATCTTCCTCGGATAATGTCTTCGGCTGAGCGGTCTTCGTCTTAGCTGGCAAGTTCCACATCTTCGGACAGGTATGGCACTTTGTGAGTCCTCTTAATAGATTGCTATCTCCCTTTGGCAGAGGCCCAAACTACTCAAGGCGTACTGTTGTTCATCCAAAGTACAAAGCTTGCTTAGCCACGAAGACTAGCAGCGTAGGTGAGCTCGAGGTTAGTTATTGGCAGCCTTTTACTGAAGCTTCACCAACCCTGGCACGACATACGTCAGCCATTACTTGTTCGAATCGCGGTTCGAGTCAAACCTCTTACTTGCACATCGTATCAAAACAAGGATCATGCCCTGCATTTTGGGGGATATCATCAATCAATTGCTTCTCCCCATGCGGCCATAACGACACGATATGATGTAGGGTGGAACCCTAAGGGCCGATCTTTCATGATTGGAGCGTATCCCACAGAACACGAAGAACACACGAGGGGGAAACATGAGGGAAACGAGAGGAAAACACTCAAATTAACTAGATCCAATCACACATGTGCTAGATCCGAGTGCACAACGAGACACACGATCCAAACACAACAAGGGACGATACAAACGGTAGTAGTTCTTCCCGCCCCGTGAGGAGACGAGGGCATGAATCCACGAGGGGATCTTCCCTTGCGGGTTCTTGAATCCACTTGGGGGATCTTCTTCGCGGAGGCCTTGGTCTCCAATGGAGTAGAGGAACAAGTGGATGAGCATAGCTCTAATCTCAAATGAGCTACAATCTTTGCTAACCCTAGCTAGGAGGAGGAGGGGGTCTATATATAGTGCTAGTGTAAGTTGGGGCGAAGGGGTACATGGGCTTTCGACCCTGATACACTGCACATAGGCAGGAGGGGCCGGATGTCCGGGCGTTCGAGGAGGTGATACGTCTCCAATGTATCTATAATTTTTGATTGTTCCATGCTATTATATTATCTGTTTTGGATATTTTATATGCATTAATATGCTATTTTATATTATTTTTGGGACTAACATATTAACCTAGAGCCCAGTGCTAGTTTCTATTTTCCCCATGTTTTTGATTTTACAGAAAAATAATATCAAACGGAGTCCAAACGAAATAAAACTTTACGATGATTTTCCTTGGACCATAAGACATCTAAGCTTGGAGAGGGGGTCAGAAGAGTCCCGAGGGGCCCACAAACCCTCAGGGCGCGCCCCTGGCTTGTGGACACCTCAAGAGTCCCCCAACCCTAATTCTTGCTCTACAAATTCCCAAATATTCCCAAACACCACTGAAGCGTCCACCAAAATACTTCCGCCGCCGCAACCTTCTGTTCCCATGAGATCCCATCTTGGGGCCTTTTCCGGCACCCTGCCGGAGGGGGATTCGATCACGGAGGGCCTCTACACCAACCTTTGCTGCCCTTTCGATGAAGCGTGAGTAGTTTACCACAGACCTACATGTC